TCGCCACTGTACTCCAGTCTGGGCGACAGAGTGAGACTCCAACTCAAAAAAAAAAGAAAGAAACAGAACTGGGATTCAGCCCCAGCCCATACTGCACTATACTTTAGGTCTTACATAGGCCAAAGTCTCAGGATTGACTTTTTCAAATAAATGTTTCTAAGGAAGCCTGGCTGTGCTTACCTGTAAGGATGGAGCAAGTTGTTTTAAATGAGTTCTTGCTGGGTAAGCTGATGACTTGAGAGCTGGCAGCCACGACAGATGCACATACACCCAACCAGCTCTTGTCTTGGTTGATAATGACTTCCAGTGGCCAACTCTCAGTCCTCATCTTATGGGACCCATCAGCAACATTTGACACATTTAACCATATCTTCTTCCTCCTAACGCTGTCTCCCTTGGCTCTGGGACTCCACTCTCTTGGCTCTCTTTCCCTACAGAGTCTCTTTCTCCGCTTCCTTGGTGGATTCATTCCTCTCCTCAGCTCTAGATTTTAGTTGCCTGAAGATCAGTCCTTGGTCCTTGTTCCACCCCTCTGCCGGACCCATGGCTTCAATGCCCCTTGACTCCTCCTGGATGCGGACAGTATCCACATTTATAACTCCAGCTACACCTCCAGACTGAGACAACTGCCTGCCTCAACTCCATTTGGAGTTTTTTTGTTTCTGAATTGGGGTCTCATTCTGTTGCCCAGACTGGAGTTCAGTGACGTGATCACCGCTCACTGCAGCCTCGACCTCCTGGGCTCAGGCTATCCATCTGCCTCAGTCTTCTGAATAGCTAGGACCATAGTCACTCACTACAATGCCTGGCTAATTTTTAAAAAAATGTTTATTGAGACAAGGTCTTGCCATTTTGTGCACGCCACCACACCCAGCTAATTTTTTATTATTGTAGAGATGAGGTCTCGCCAAGTTGCCCGGGCTGGTCTTGAACCTGCAGGCTCAGGCAATCCACTCGCTTCGGCCTCCCAAAGTGCTGGGATTACAGCCTGAGCCACCGAGCCCGGCCTAAGTATTACTTTTACTTCGTCATAATCAGAAGTGTCTTAATGCTGATGGTGACCATTTTGAACACCTCTTGTAATTCCAGAAGTCACCCGTGACTTGTATTCATCTTTTGTTATTGGTATATATTGAGTATTACAATTTTATCTTATTTTTTCGAGTTGGAGTCTCACTCTTGTCGCTCAGCTAGAGTGCAGTGGCACGCTCAAGGCCACCGCAGCCTCCACCTGCTGGACTTAGCCGATCCTTCCACCTCAGCCTTCCAAGTAGCTGGAACTACAGTTGCATGCCACCACGTCCAGCTAACACAGTGTTTCCCTTTCTTTAAGTGGGTATATGTCTTTTTTTTTTTTTTTTGAGTTGGAGTCTCACTCTGTCGCCCAGACTGGTGTGCAGTGGCCGCTCCCGGCCACCGCAGCCTCAACTTGCTGGGCTCCGGCGATCCTTCCGCCTCAGCCTTCCGAGTAACCGGAATTACAGGCATGCGCTACCACACCCGGCTGGTTTTTTGATTTATTGTAGAGATGAGGTCTCGCTGCCCAGGCGGGTCTCGAACCTGCAGGCTCAGGCAATCCACTCACCTCAGCCTCCCGAAGGCACGGGATTGTCTTTTTTGACACCCTATGTAGATGTGCCGAATAAAGCGATGAGTATAAAGCCCTCCCAGGGACTCCCTGCACCCTTCCAACTCAGGGGCTCCTTAGTCTCCCTTCAAGAGCAACTCTCAGCTCACAGACCTGGCTTGGTTTCCCCAGGTGCGTCTTCCTGCCTGACCAGGGTGCCTTCTTCGTGAACTACGTTATCGCCTCAGCCTTCATCGGCAACGGCATGGAGCTGCTGCGGCTGCCGGGCCTCATCCTCTACACCTTCCGCATGATCATGGCCAAGACGGCCGCTGACCGCCGGAATGTCAAGCAGGTGCTGGGTGCAAGGCGGTGCCGCTGACTCCCTCCCCAGCACTACCCCCGCACCAGCGGGCCTCTTACCCCCACTGAACTCAGCACATACCTAGCCACCCACTAGCACTGGGCACTGGGCTGAGTGCTTCTCAAACCACCGCTGGAGGAGAGAGCTTGGGACTTTTGCATTTTAACCAGTTTGGTCACGCACACACACATATACCTACAACCCAAATCTACAGACTCCTTTTCCGTGGACATCCATTTACATGCATTCTTAGGCGCTCCCTGGTTGTTAAAGTCCTTTTGGGCTTGTGGCATCTATTTCAAGACTCCTTAAACTGGGTGGTGTGGGGCTGTCTTTTGTCCTCCTCTGATATGATGGGTACTAAGAGGAAGGTAGGAGACGCACTGCTCTCCTTTACTTAATTCTCAGCCCCCTGATGAGATAAGCTGCTGGCCTACTTATTTTACAGATGCATATACTAAGCTGGCCCAGTCTTCCCACCCCCACCTAGAAGGGGCAGAGCTGGTGTTTGCTCTAATGACAGAGTCTGTGGAGAGTCATCCTAAAGCTTCTCCTCAGACCATCTCTGCCCTTCAGGGGCTCACAGGCCTGTTGGGTAGATAGGATTGGGACAAGGAGGACACTGGGAGAACGATGTGTCACTGTGCCTTGGGAGGTTTGGGTGTGTGGAGTGAGGGCTCGGGGAGGGATAGGAAAGAGACCAGGAGGTGGGGAGCCATGTGTGTCCTATTTCCAAAGTCCTCCTCCACCCTGCTCACTCCGCACCACTTGGTGCGAACAAGGGAGTGTTTGGGGTGGAACAAGCCCTCACGCTCCTCGCTACACCCTCCTTGCAGAGCCAGGCCTTCCAGTATGAGTTTGGAGCCATGTACGCGTGGATGCTGTGCGTCTTCACTGTCATCATGGCCTACAGCATCACCTGCCCCATCATTGCACCATTTGGTGAGTGGCCCTGGAGCCCGTTTCGGGGCACCTGGATGACCACCACGGACAGCCGTCTCACCAAGGCAGTGTGGCACTCCAAAAATGGTAGCCGCAAGAACATGTGTGACGCCAAATTCCATTCATTTCTAAATGAATTACTTCCACTGGCCTCCCAAATGTGACCCCCCTCGGTACTTCTCCTGGTCTGAGAATCTCTGCCAGCTGCCCAGGGCATCCTTGGTTGATTCTTTCGCAGCAAGTTAGACAGTACTGTAGTAGCGGTCAGAACTCTCGTGATACTTCTGCTCTTGCCAGGCACCTGCCTCCACGGGGCGGTCACATTTAATTCTCACCCAGTCCTGCAAGGTAGGTCTTGTTTCTGTTCCCTTTTCACAGGTGGAAAGCTTCAGATCTTCTTAGGAAGTAGGAGAGCCAGGATTTGAACTTAGGACTGTTTGACTTTAAAGGCCAAGGTCTTGGCCACTGAAATAAAATGATTGGAACTGGCAGGTGAATGGAAGACTCTAGAAGGGAACAGAACACCCAGAAGATCGTTGGCAGTGGTAGCTGAGGTTTAAGGGGAGAAGTTTTAGTTTTCCCCGTGTACTCTCTTGTACAGTTTTAAAAATCTACAGTATTAAGTCTTACAAAACATAGCAAAAAATTTTTTTAAAAGAACCTGCTTCTGTGCCACCCCTTAGGTAAGACCCTCGGGACTCTGTTGACTGTGATGAGGGCAGGGGGTCAACAGGGTGGGAGAAGGACAGGAGGGTATGGGAGTAGGGAGGGATGGGGTCTTGGCATGGGAGGGCCAGGGGAGGAACTGAGGCCAGGCATCTGAGTGTGAAGCAGCCTCTTTCCCAAGCCCATCTTGGAATTTCGGCAGTCCATGGGGACAGAATCAGACACCGCTACTCCCTTGGGGTCAGGAAGATGCGTGGGAGGGGCGGGTTGGGGGGGAGAGAAAGAACACTAGCGGCCAGGATGTGCATGCCGTCTAATTTCAGGCCCAAGTGGTAGAGCAGCAGTCCTGGACCTAGTTCCATGCCAAAATAGCCGCCCCTGAGAGGAAGGACGCAGAGGACCCCTGTGGTCAAGCGGGGCCTTCAGCTCACAGCCCTACCCCGCAGGTCTCATCTACATCCTGCTCAAGCACATGGTGGACCGGCACAACCTCTACTTTGCCTACCTCCCCGCCAAGCTGGAGAAGAGGATCCACTTTGCCGCTGTAAACCAGGCCTTGGCTGCTCCCATCCTGTGTCTCTTCTGGCTCTACTTCTTCTCCTTCCTGCGCCTGGGTGAGGGGCCCTTCTCACCTGGGGGGCCATCCCCGGTGGCACATGCCTGCATCTATACTAACCAGTTGGATTCTTCGCTGCTTTCGTAGCGTTAATGTGGTGTCCCATCAGAATGTGGGCTAGGCCGGGCTCAGTGGCTCAGCCTGTAATCCCGCACCTTTGGGAGGCTGAGGTGAATGGATTGCCTGAGCCCACGGGTTCGAGACCCGCCTGGGCAGCGAGACCTCATCTCTACAATAAATCAACAAATCAGCTGGGCGTGGTAGCGCATGCCTGTAATTCCGGCTACTCGGAAGGCTGAGGCGGAAGGATCGCCAGGAGCCCAGCAGCCTCCAGCAGGTCGAGGCTGCGGTGGCTGGGAGCGGCCACTGCACTCCAGTCTGGGCGACAGAGTGAGACTCCAACTCAAAAAAAAAAAAAAAAGAATGTGGGCTGGTTGAGTGTCCAATCAGAACGCGATGCCCAGGGTGAGGCTAGTTGGGTGTCCAATCGGAACGCGGTGCCCAGGGTGAGGCTAGTTGGGTGTCCAATCAGAACGCGGTGCCCAGGTTGAGGGCTGATGGGTGTGGTGCTGACAACCCGACTCCTGAACTAGCCTAAGCTCAGGTGTAACCCTGGTGAAGGCCTGGTCGGTTGTCCCAGACATCCCTAGGGAGAAGACAGTCCCTTTATCAGCTCCGGGGGTGTGAACCAGAGGAGATAGGGAAGCTGATCCAGATTGCTTTTTGGGGGTGGTGGATGGGCCCAGGTCCTCGCACCTACAGCGTGGAGGAAGTGGGGACATGCAGGAGGGAGCACTGAGACTCTTAGGAAAAGATGGACTTGGGGAAGCCTCTAGCCTCCCTAGCCCAGGTAATGGGAGACGGGAAGGAACTGATGCAGCAAGGATGCTGGCAAATTGCCATCCATTTGGCATCCCAGTATCTGAAATCTGATCAGGGATGATGCTAGTCATTCAGTGGGTCACTCTGTGCACTCCTGGCTGTGAAGACACTATCTCAGCTGCTGGAGTGAGGGGTGGGGGTTAGACCTTGTCCTTATTTTCTGACTGAGCAGTCACACACAGTTTCTGCACCAGGTGCAGTCCCCTTCCTCAGCAGGGTGAGGGTGGGTAGCAGTCCTTTCCTCTCCCCACCTAAGGCTAGACTCCATCTATCCCCAGGCCTGAAGGCCCCTGCCACTCTGTTCACTTTCCTGGTCGTGCTGGTCACTATCTTGGTCTGCCTGGGTTACACCTGCTTCGGCTGTTTTAAGCACCTCAGTCCTCTGAACTACAAGGTAAGGGCACACCCCTCCACCTCCTTCCAGCCAGGACCCGGGAGAAGACTGTAGGCTCACTCTCCATCCATCCCCCACCTCTCTCCATATCAACACAGGAACAGCCCTTTCCAGATTTAATTCATCCATGGGAAAGGCGTGGGTAGCTGGGTGTGATATGTAACTTCCCTCCCCCTCAACCCTGCTCCCTGCATTCCCCCCACCCCATCCTCTCTTGGGCTGCTGCTGAGAGCTTGGTGCCAGCTGGTACTATTTTTCTGGGTGTTAATGGTCTGTTTGTTTGGAGGGTGTTCGTTCACAGAGATCAGTTTTGTTTATCATTGCAAGTTTTCACTGTTATCTGCAGACAGAAGAATCAGCAAGTGACAAAGGAAGTGAGGCCGAGGCCCACGTGCCTCCACCGCTTATGGTGAGTTCTCTGTGCTTCTCACCCCAGAGCCTGTTGCCTCTTGTTGCTCTGTTTGTAACAGTCCTGACCAGATGGGCCCTGGCAAATGTGCTTTGATCATCTCTTGCTAAGAGAGAAGTCCCTCGATCACGTGGCAGGCAAGTTTCTGAATTAATGTCAGAGAAGGATTCCCTAGTCCCTCTGGATGTTTTAACCTGTCTATGTGAAGCCGTGGAGAAGATAATTAGTCTTGTCACACCGTGTGCCCATCCCCCATGGTTTCAGTTCCCTGCTCGCTTTCCTTCTCTGCATATTTAATGCCTGGTGAGTTTGAGGCGTTAGTGAAGCAACACTATCAGGCTGGAGGGTTTGACAGAGCTTTATCACCAGCGTTGCACCTGCCTGTGTGCTCCTTCCACGAGGCACCAAGAGGGTGTCACGTACACTTCCTTTTGAGTCCAAGAAATGAAAGATGTACCTGCTTCAGAGGAAGGCATGGTGGTAGAAAGACCCCAGGACTCCTTCCCTTCCCAGTCCTCCCTGCTTCCAGCCTCCAGGGTCCTGCTCCTAGGACAGGGCTGGGAAAGGAACACAGAGCCACAGGATCCCAGAGCTGGAACCGCTGGTCTTCCTGGCAGATGCAAGGCCAAGACAGCAGCTAGCCAGTGCTCTGACAGTGCCTGCCTCCCAGGTGTCGGGCACTCTTATCAGTGTCTGTCCTTGGAAGAGCCCCAGAGAGATTCATTACCCAGAAACACACCTGTGCCTGTGCCAGCCAAGCAAGGGACAAGCAGGACAGGCAGATGATGTCTAGCCCTCGTTCTAAGCCTGGGTCTGGGAGGAAGTGGAGCAGGGCTCTGTGCCCAGGGTCAGCAGCTAGAGCCTGGGGTTGGGAGGAAACAAAACTCACACAGACTTGTTCTGCATCCCAGAAGTTCCACTGACAGCATCCTAATCCCCTGCGCAGACTGACTTGTTTCCTATGTAGAGTGAGAAATTCTAGAATCCAGTGCTGGGAAATTTTGTTTCCTCTGAGCAACAGGGAAAACTTCTCTGTTGTGCTCCCATCTGTGTGATCTTTTTTTGTTGTTGTTGTTTGTTTTTTGAGTTGGAGTCTCACTCTGTCACCCAGACTGCAGTGCAGTGGCCACTCCTGGCCACCGCAGCCTCTACCTGCTGGGCTCCGGCGATCCTTCCGCCTCAGCCTTCCAAGTAGCTGGAATTACAGGCATGCACTACCATGCCCAGCTGATTTTTTGATTTATTGTAGAGATGAGGTCTCGCTGCCCAGGCGGGTCTCGAACCCGCGGGCTCAGGCAATCCACTCACCTCAGCCTCCCAAAGCGCGGGATTACAGGCTGAGCCACCGAACCTGGCTTGTGTGATCTTGAGAACTGTGTAATTGTGTTTTCTGTCCTCTCTGGCTGCTGGCAAATTCTGCAGGTAACACATTCTGGGTCCAGATGTCCTAAGTTGGTGTTGCTATTTCCTCCTGTGTGTCCTTTACAAACACTGCCTGTGTCCTCCTGCTGGAGAAAAGAGGGGCAGTAGGGAAGGGACAGGGTGTGGAATCTCATGCCCCCCACCCCTCCCAAGCACTAACTGCCCCCATTTGCTGACAGCCCTACGTGCCTCGAATTCTGAATGGCTTGGCATCAGAGAGGACAGCCTTGTCCCCGCAGCTGCAGCAGTCCTACGGTGCCATCCACAACATCAGTGGGACTCTTCCTGGACAGCACTTGGCCCAGAGCCCTGCAGACAGTGTGGCTGCTGCCTACCAGGAGACCTGAGGCAGGCACACTGCCAGGCAGAGTCAGGCTCAGGGGAGCCTGAGGGTGGGAAGACAGGTAGAGAAGTGGCTTGCCCACTGCCCCAACCAAGTTCACAACTGCTTTCCGTGTGTTTTAAGCCCCACTGCTCTGAAGAGATGCAACCAGAAAAGCCTGGGACTTAGGCTTTTGGCTGAAGAGGAAAGGACTGGGACTGCCAACCAAGAGCCATCCAGTGCTGGTCTTTGTTTCTGGTCACAGCAGCCGAGGGGAGCACATGCAGCTCCTACCCCTACTGTGCACCTGAGGCTCTGCGCCCTCCTGACTCCACTCCTGTATGCACTTCCAGCTCTGGAACTGGAATCATGTCCCCAATGGTTTATAGCCAAGATCATGTGTTTGACTTTTGCCCCCCCCCCCAGGACTGATTGATTAACCCTGGTGATGCTATCAGGTGATAGGGAGAATGTCACAAGAGGAAGACCTTCTGAGCACCCAGACACCTCCTGCCCCTTTGCAGGCACACACATCTGACTGATAACCCAGAGTCTGCAGCAACCCTGAGGTCTGAGATGGAATCTAGACTGGAGTCCCCCACTTCCCCCCAACCCACTAGGGAGCCCCTCTGAGCTGCTCGTTGTGGGGAGTAGGTTGTGAAATGCACACACCTCTGCATCCCACAACAGTTTTGTGCTTTTATATCATGTTGCCAGGGATGCTCTGGCTGGGTCAGGGTCACCCCTGCAGCAGGCAGGGACAATGGGGACCATAAGCGCACCCGCTCGATCAGACAGGTGAGATCCAGCCTCTCCTGCCTCTTCAGGACTGAGCACAGAAGGCCAAGTGCGTAGAGTTGCAGTTCAAGGCAGGCTCTGTCCAGCCCCCACCCCATCTGTTCCCTCCAAGACCGGAGGGCAGTGCTCAGGGAGGACAGTGTGGCCGACTCAGAGAAGGGGGTGTCTGGGCTGGGTGCGGGGCTGTCTACCACCCCTGAGCTGTGGCCCTGGCAGGAAGAAGAGACAGTCTCTTGCCTTTTCCCTCCTGGTGAATTCCGGCGAGTTGGGATGCAACCTTGGACTTTGTCCTAGAAACCTCCTCCCTACTGCCTCCAGGGGGCGCCAGGGCACAAGTCGGTGTGGTTTGCGGGGGAAGGGGCCGTCCGGGGCTCCTTCCTTCCCTCCCCCCGGGTCGGGGCGCGGGGGGCCCTGGGGGCGTCCTCCGCCTGGCTGGGCCTGGGCTTTCGGGGCCTCCCCGCACCCAGGACCCTCTGAACGCCGACCTGCTCCAGCGGCTCAGCAGGGCCGCCTCTGCTCGGAGCTGCGCCGGGAGGCGGTGGAGCGGCGCCATCGGTGCCGTGGGGACCGCCCGGTGCGACTCGGCCCCGCCCTGTCCCCGGCGGGCCT